GATCGACAGTCTGGTACGCTAGAACCCTGTCGCTTAGCGGTGAGACTGAGGACTTATAACGCTAAAATTCTGGTTTCAGTACCCGCGATGGACAAAGCACAGATAACATATTTTGTAGTTTTGGCCTTAACAAAACTATTCACAAAGTAACATAACACAATACTATTCATGCACTCCACGAAAATTATTTGAATGTTGGTGTTATTTAATATACCCACTGAACGTATTAATTTCGTATTTTTTGCGCTACCTTTTAAACCTGTGCATTGTGAAAAATTTAGACCAATATGAGTTAAATATAAATAGAAATATTGAAATATATGAGTTAAGCCTAATGTGCTGACTGTTTACATCTAACTGAAGTATAATGCAAAGCTCTAATTAGAATTGTGTCTATTCTTAAGTTAATTCTGTAACTCATGTAAACCAAACCTCCTTTCAAGAGGCTTTACTATTATCTATAACATAATTATATGTATAGATCACCCTGAGAGCATGAATGGCCACTATGTTCTAAGTTCTGACATTACAAGGAAATTTACATCACAAATTGGAATGAAGCCAGCCGAGCGAAAAACATTTTTTATTTAGGTTCTCTCATTCACGTTTTATACGAGATCATCATCGTTGAGATATTTCACAGTCGACTTGAGTTGAGCATCATTACAACTGATTTTCAGAAGCATGCAAGCGGAAATTGTCTGTTCATTCCCAAGCCTCTGTAGCTTATAATTTACAGCTTCTGTTCGTTTACATACATGTTGAGTATAGGATGTTTCCCTTACCAATTATTGCTCTAAAATATTACCGTTAATAAAATGTTTGTCATGTCAGTGGGAGGACCGCTAAAACGGCTCACACCACCCGCCGTTTAAAGTATCATAAGTTTACGTGTTATTAACTAAGCTATCTTATTATCATGCTACAGCATAATACTCTTCATGTCGTAAAACAACAAAGAGAAAAGTGTAAATCTTATTACAAGTCTTTTGAGTATTATCGTTTGTTTGTTTG